GGCGCGGGCGGCGGGCGCGGGCGCCGATGGGAGATGTAGGCGCGGCCGCAGCCTCCAGGGACGGCGGCGGCGGGGCGGGGGAGGAGGAGGAGGGGGGGGTCCCGGGAAGATGCTCCGCTGACGGCGAAGCGGCTGAGGCCTCCCCCCCCACCCCGGATAAACCCGGAGAGATCCAGGGGATGCCCTGGCCGCTGAGCGGCTCCGGTTAAACGGAACCAGTTTTGCTGCCCAGGGCTGAAACGAGGAGGGTTCGCTCCGGCCCGGGTTCTTTCCAGGGAGGCTTTTAATGCTCCTCTCCCCGACAAGGAACGCCCTGCTATCCTGCCCCCAAAACGCCACCCAGAATATCAAAGAAGCCAGAAAGCATCCCTCCCACCTCGAGTCCCTCTCAGAGGATGCACCCTGCATCCAGCGCAGACGGACCCCTCCCACCCCACCCCACCAAAACACCGGCTTCTCTGCAGCGGCCGTTTCTCTGAAATTCTGGCACTTTGGGGGTCCCTGTCCAGCCCCCACCCCGCAAAAAGCCCTGAGGTGTCAGGTTAACAAACACATTTAAAATTGAGGCACTGGCTGCAGCAGGAGAGCTTGCTGCTAGTCGCTTTACAAACATTAAAAGGTAACTTTGATGAGTTGGGTGGGCTAGGTTTCAGGTTTTTTTATACATATACACGGTAAGAAACAGATTGGGCTTTGCCATCAAGTTCTTTACGAGCCCGTTGAACGGGCGTTAATGCCGCGACGGGTGCCACTTGGCCTCTCTGTAGCTCTCCCTCCGGTAGTCATAGTCGTGGCTCCAGCCGTCCCGGTGCCTGTCTTCATAGGCAGGCTCCTCTCTGCCCCCCCGGTAGTGATGCTCGGCATCATGCCCCCTCTCCTCAAAGCCGTACTCCTCCCTCTTGCCCCTGCCGTAGTCGGGTCCCCGCTCCCCGAAGCGCTGCTCGCGGCCGAAGTGCCTGCTGTCTGGGTGGTAGGGGTGGGCGCTCAGCCTGCCCTTGCGCTGGGCCGGCACCTCTGGGCGCCGCGGCATTTGGGAGGCCGGCGAGGGGTGAAAAGCGTGGGGAGCGTGCTGGTAGGCAGGCACGGGGAAGCCAGGCTGCTCATACTTCCCCCCAAACTGAGGTTGCTGCCACATGGCGCTGTTCATCTGGAAAGAGAAGAGAGGAAAAGGGTCAGTGGATATGGGGCACTCACTTCCCAGCAGCGTGCTTGAACCTTTCCAGGGGATGGGGGCCAGAGAAACACTAACCCCCACAACGGCCTCTGAATCACACATTAACCACACCATAAATACAGGGGAAAAACAAAAGTTGCTGGTTTGGAAACGAGACTAGACACTAACTTACAGAGCAGCTATTACCGACTGCTTCACCTACAGCCGAAGCTCAAAGCTCTCCCCACCGTTAACCACCTCGGCGGCAGAAGCCCTAAACCTTCCGGAACTGTCATTTCAACACTCCAGAAGTACACTCCCACAACCTCTCACAATCATTACAAGAAACAAGTACTCAAAATCAGAGACAACTCTGTCATGTGTCATCTGTCAGCCGTGGGGCACTGCAGGGTCAGATGCTGTTAGCGCAAGCAAGCAGCCTACCACTGCTTGTCTCTGAAGGTTATCGGCCGATGGCAGAGACCGCTGCGCTGACGAGAATCCCGCTGCTACCGCACCATCAGGACTCCTGTCATATCTGCAGAAAAAAAAAGATCAGGAGCTTCAGCCTTAAACTCAAGACTAGCACTTGCGTTGTGCGCTTGGCAGCGCCCTCCCCACTTCGCCTCAACGGACCTTTTCCGCGCTTGCATTAAAACGCAACGGTCTTCTTTTGGTGTTCGGATTTCAGGCACTAAAAAGGGTACCAAGGGCACTAGGAACTCAAGGATTTTCTCCATAGGGAAGAGCAAGCATATTGTGCTGGGGAAGAGAGCCAGGAACACAGCGAAATGCGCAAATGCTCTTTTCTGCTTCGAACTATGTGCAGGTACCTATGGTGTGTGCTGACAGGACTCGTACCTGCTGCAGTTTGATGCTGGATGCGGCGCGCCAGAGGGGCTGGTGTTGGCGGCTCCGTGCGGGGACAAAGATGGATTGCCATCCTGAGATGCATGACTGCTCCCTGAAGAGAAAGAAACATTTCGCAAGACTGACAAACATGAATTAGAGGAACTTGGGTATGAAGTAAACTTGCAAGGCGCTAGCAGTTGCCACGTGCTTAATTAGCTCTTGAGTTTCCTCAGTGGCCTGCAAAAGCACGTCATCCAGTCCCCAAAACAAGACGCCGAAACTCTCTTAACACCCGCAGGGAAGGATGCAATCGGGCAGCGATGTTCTGGCCTACATGCCTCATTCAAATGACATCAGGGATGGCTTTCACTGCTGCGTGACGATTTAGAATGGCCTTCAAGGGTACCAGTGAAGCACCAGAAAACTAACCCAACAGAAGGCTCAGCTCCTGGACTGCACCTGGCCGTAACTGATGGAAAGGTGTTCGAGGGGAAGTACAGGGACAAGATCACACGCCTGCTTGACACCAGCGTGCTACGAAACCAGCGCCAGCTGTTAGGTGAGTGACCGCTGGATGAGAAGCCGGTGCAATTTACCCCATCCCATGTCAGTCTGCCGGGATTTGGGAAGGGGCAGCCGACGGCAGTTTTGCTTTCTCTTTCTCTCATAAGCGGGTTACTTAGTGTTTCTTTTGGCGGGTACCTGATCGGAACTGGATTTTGATGGGCCTCCCGTACAGCTTGATGCCGTTCAGCAGGCTCAACCCGTAGGGGACCGATTCCTCGTGTTTGAAATTCACGAATGCAAACTGCTTGGGTCTGCCGTCTCTGTCCTTCGGAATCTTCACCTTAATCACCGGACCTGCCTGCGAGGCAAGGAACGAAAGGTGTGAAAGGAGAAATGGAGCAGCTCCCCGAAAAACTGGGGCCGGGCGGTTTGTCCCCGGAAGTTTGTCCTCCGCCGGCCGCCGTACCCTCCCTCGCCGGGGCAGGCCCAGCGATAGCGGCCGCGGCCTCCCCCGCTATAAAGCGCGGCCGGGCGGGGGAAAGGGATTCGGCTGCCGGCCGGTACCTGGTGGAACAGCTCGAAGATGAGCTCCTCGGTGACCTTGGGGTCCAGGTTCCCCACGAAAAGGGTCCGATCCGCCTCGGCCGCCGCCGCCCCCATCGCCGCGGCCGGGCAGCTCGCGCTCAGCGGCGCCGACGCACACCTCTGCGCAGGCGCCTGCGGCGTGACGTCGCCGCGTCAGCGTCCGCGCCCCCGCCCCTTCCGCTGGGCCTGGCCGAGGGGGACCGGACCGGA